AAATTTGTATCAGTCTTTTTCTACAGCCTCTTTGGCTCAGACACAAGTCTGATATGTATATATATATATCTGATATCTAAGTCTGATATACAAGGGGTCTTCAAAATGTTCATGGAAAGATTTGTATTATCTTTTAATTCCATTTTCCGTGAACTTTTTGAAGTTACCTCATATGTCTTACATATAAATTTGATATATATATGTATATGTAACAGCTCTTAGCTCCCCCACACCTCCTCCCAAGTCTTCTCTAGGATGGGTCATTGCATTTTCTTTACTGTTCCTCAAGTGATAGGGGGTCGAGCCCTGTGCTCTCTGATCTGGGCAGAGGGACAGAGGCATTGCCTATGTATGGGCGCTAGATTGTTGATCTGCCAGGGTCACCCAAACCCCATTCTGTGCTCCCTCTGCTGAATGGAGTGTCGGCTGTCCTCTGGCAGGCCAGCTGCTGTGCTCACTCCTTGCCGTCGCCTCACATACTGCTGGTGTTTCCAAGAATGCTGATACTATGCAGCTGACTTGGAAGCAAGAACCTGGCGAACTCTCTCTTCTGTCCTCAGCCTACTTTTCCTGACTTCCTCACAGGCCATTAAGGCTATTTATCCACTTAGTACTAAGTGGGTATAGTACTCTCCTTTTCTGTTTATTACCTATCATAAGTCTGGGCCAGATTAACCTCTTTAGTCTTTACTTACTTGGGTTTAGTGAAAATTGTCCTCAGATCCCCTCCGCCCCTTCCCTTCCCCCTGCATTTCTCCTATGTATTTTTGGCTTAGTTCTTTTCTCCCTTCAGGATACATGCATATCAACTGTTAGTGGCTCTCTGACCCACGTGTGTAGGGAGTAAAGATGACTGGGGCGTGGAGGCTCAGAGAAGGGTTCAACCTGCCCAGGTCGTGGAGCTCGCTGTTAGCCAGTGCAAGGCTGGTGAGCTTATCTCGGGGTTCCTGTTCCTCAGCTCTTTCTGGCATGGAGGTAGACTTGGTGCTTGGCATGTTTGCAGGGGAGTGGAGGGGAGTGCTACAGGCTTATTCCAGAACTTTCTCCTTACCCAGCAGACCCCCTTAGGAGAGCTGCCCAGACCTAAGCACTGTACGAACCCAGAGGGCTCTTGAGGACCATGGGGCTTCACCCCCTGTTATAGTGAGGCCCAGAGGAGAGTGACTGGCCCAATCCCACACAGCCTATTAGCAATAGAGCCAGAAAGCAGCTCAGGCCTCTCTTCCTCTGACCTCACTGAAGTGGAATTTCTTTAATCAAAAGTCTCATCTGAGACCTGGATGGATTTAACCCCTAGCTGAGATTTTTAAATTGGATGCCTCAGATTCCACGACCGATGGACAAGATTGGGGCCTGTCCAGGAGCTCCCTTTTCCTTTTTTGACTTGCTGCACAGGGTTTGGCATAGTTTATAACTCCCACCTGCCCAGCACTCCCTCAAGTTCCAGCCTCTGGGACCCTGGTTTTCTCATCCTCAAGAATTGTAAATGGTCACTGTACTTGGCCTACACCCTTATTTCAGGCTTATAGTCTCGGTGACTTGGCTCTCTCCTGCCCAGCACTCCCTCAAGTTCCAGCCTCTGGGACCCTGGTTTTCTCATCCTCAAGAATTGTAAATCGTCACTGTACTTGGCCTACACCCTTATTTCAGGCTTATAGTCTCGGTGACTTGGCTCTCTCCCTCCTCAAAGTCATGTATTTGTAATGCCCCCTGCCTGAGGGCTGTGACAGATATAACTGCCCCTCCCCAATCCAATCAGTGGTTCCCCTTCAAGTCCCTTACTGTCAGTGGGTCTTTATAGAGGTTTTGTGTGCAGCCCTTTGTGGGGACCAAGAGGAAAAGTCAAGAAACTGACTCTTAGACATCAGAACTGGTAGGTCTCTTTGAGATCATGAGATCCAAATTCCTCATGGTCAAGGTGGAGAAGCAGAGGCCTGGAGAGGGTAAGAGACTTGCCTCAGGGTCCCAGCAGGTGTGTGCTGACCTAAGGCTGGAACCCAGGGTCCCAATGTCAGTTGTCTGTCTAGTGTCGAGCCATATTCCATGACACAGAAGTCCTGGAATGGAGAGATTGATGGTACCTCATTACCCAGACCTGCTTGCTTTTCTGAGCTTTATCAGCAAGTAGATTGAGCATAAGAAATGAGCCACCATTTGTAATCCACAAATGGTAGTCATGGCTGCTGCCTCAGAGCATCTGTTGCCTTAAGTTCAAGTGCATGTCCTCCTAGGTCCTGCTGGTTTCAGGGTGCAGGTGGGATTAGGGCTGAGGGAAGTGTGGCTTCTGGTGGATGTAGCCACAGGCTTCTGCTTGGTGGGAGGAGCCCAGACAGGACTTGGTCCCTCCTGGCCCCCTCAGCCAGGTGTTGGGTGTTGTTGTTCAGGACATAACTGGCTCAACCATTTTCACTGGGATATTGGTGAAACAAGGAGACGGTATCTGCTGTGAAAGAAGGTAGGACAGAAGTCAGGTAGGAGGCAGATTCTGGATTTCTGGCGTTATGCTAAGTGCTGGGTAGGTATTATCTCACTTAGTGGGAACTTGTGAGAGAAGTAGCCACTATAAAATGCCCTACTTTTTTTTTATATTATTTTTTTTTACATTCTATGATGTTGTTGCAGAGCAATTGGGAGGGAGGGAGAGAGGGGAAAGGGGAAGGAAATGGAATGGAAGAAGGAGGGAGGAGGAGGGGCGGGATTGAGGCCTGTGGCACCCCCCTCATTGCCATAGGGGGCTTCCAGTGGTGGCTTCATCATTGCTGGGCTGGGTGCAGATGTCAGGGGAATATGGCAAAAGCCCTCGCCCCTCACCACCCCGGCTTGGGAACCTAGGGCCCTTCTTGCTGTGGCTTGGTAGTCATAGCTGGGCTGGTTGCACACGTTGGGGGTGTGTGGCCGAGGCCCAAGGTCCCCACCACCCTGAAAATGCCCCACTTTTGGAGATGAGGGAGTGCACACTGAGAGAAGTTAAGTACCTGCCCCAAGGTCACAATGCTAGGAAGTGGGAGGACCAGCACTCCAGCCTGGCCCTCTGGCTCTTCCTAGTCAGAGGGGTAGGAGCAGGTGCAAGCTGTTGGATTTGTCCACTCAGGATACAGTGTGTGTTGACTTCTTCCTTCCTTCTCAGCCTGGAGGAAGGTGGCCAATATCCTGACATCAGAAGCAGTGGGAAGACTTGAGGGGAACCAGCTTGTGCCTAGCAGACTTGGGAGGAATAAGTGTCCACCCAGGATTTGTCTCTTAGAAATAAAACCCCAAATAACATGAGCCTGGAGATTGGGATTCACAGAACGCTAGAATGTCAGAGCTGAAAGAGATCCTAAAAGTGTGGTTTCCAGCCATAATACCCACAAGGAATCAGATAGTTGAGAGAGCTAGCTTCCTACTACCCTTTCCTTACGTTTTTCCTTTGATACCTTTGGTGGGACATGAATATGGTTCTAAGGGTCAACTAGAGACAACTAAAATATAGTGAATGCTTAGCATGTGCCAGGCATGACTGGGACCGTCCACCTTGAAATTCTGGCCACTTGTCCTGGGTCAGCTCCAATGTGTAGGGCAGGAGCAGAGTCATGACAGCATGGGGGTGTGGAGTGTGTTCTAGATCTTCTCATCCAGCTTCCCTCTGGGTGTGGAGTCCTCTTGCAACTTCCCCAGCTGAGTCCAGGGAACCCACCACTTCTTGAGGTAGTTCCATCTGTTGTGACCTAGCTGTGATTAAGATTTTATACCAACCCTGAAGTGATTATCTCCATAAATTCTATTGTTCTTAGTTCTGTCTTCTATGGCTATACAGAGAAAATATGATCCAAGAACTGCAAATAGTTTTCATCTTGATAAACACTCTAATCAGTTGATAGTAGCTGTCAGAAATCCTGTGTAAAAAAGGGTTCTGAGGCTAAACTGGGGCTCAGAAGGAAAGCCCAGGAAACAATGCCACAGTAAACCAACCAGCAGTTAGATGACAAGTGCATTTCAATGCAAGTGTTGGCTTTAATCAATGGGTGATGACTAACGAATTCTAAGACTATGTGTGGTTTAGTGGGGGTGTGGAGGGAGGAATTCACATTTGATTGTTAATATCTGCCATGGGCACAGGAAAGGATAATACTGGGGCATGTGCCACAGTATTGTCATTCTTGGATCAGAATATCTCTAAGATACCGTCCAGTTAAAAATTCTGTGATTGAGGGCCGGCCCGGTGGCGCACTGCTACAGTGCGCCGCTTGGGAGTGTGGCGGCGCTCC